GATATGAAACCCGATGTATTAAAAATACAAATCCAGCAGTTTAATTAGGAATCTCTGTGTAGGAACTAGTACACAAGGCAATCAGCACGTAAACTGAGGGCATGGTCCGGCGCTCCCAGTACGTAGAAATGTTGGAGACAAGATTATAAGTGTGTTGCACCAACCATGAGCTCACAGTCGGATCCTTCCTCAGTAAAACAGTTGTGTTCAGCTGCAGTGATTAAATTAGTACAGAAAATACTACCACATCTCTTGCACACCTTGCCAGGCTCCTTCTCCTTCCAAATGTCCCTCCTGAACTTCTGGGCAGCTATTCCCCATTATTTACATTTTTTGCACAATTACTGGCAACATATCTCAGATTTCTGTATAAACCTAGACATGAGTAATATCTTTGCATTATACAACCAGCCATGGAAAGAAGTAATTCCTTTGGCAGCTATTAGTAATGGACATGGATGTTTCCTCTGAATTGCAAGTTTTCTTAGGAAATGTGCCCCTTACCAGTCAAATTATTTGTAGGATTCTTAAAAATATTAGGGAAGGTGCTCTCTAGAACATAAAAATAATACCTTTACTTAAGAATACACAGATCTAATAGAGGAGTAATGATTATTTTAATCTTCTGCAAGGTGAACCCAGACTTGTGGGTAATGTGTCTTCAGGGGACACACAGAGACCACATGTCACAGTGAATTTAAGGCCCCTATGAACTCTCTAATGTAGGTTTATAGTTTCTGTAGATGTACAGATTAAATCTACAGATTTAATGCCCTCCATCTGCCAGGCCTGCAGAGGTGTGGAGCGGCACTGCACCCCTGACAGAACCAGGATACCAAACTGCTGCACCCTAGAACCTGGAACAGACTGGAACTCCGATGCTGCGGAGCTAAGCTGAACCCTGTGCCATGCCTGGCCTGGGATCTCCACTATTCACAGGTGCTTGTGGTGGCAGCATCTCACCCCACATCCCACTGTGGGGAGCAGGGGCTGAGGTCCACCTTCATCCTCATCACAGAAAGGGAGGAAAAACCTTCTGCCACAACTCAGCTGGGGTAAGAGAAAGGAAATCCACCACCAGCTGCGGCCTCCAGTCAGGAGAGCACAAGGACAGGAGACACCTGTGGAAGGATGTGGCTGCTTTAGCAGCAATAGACCCATCTCAGTTTTGGCTGCTTGAGAAAAACGCCAGAATAAACCTCCTTTGGTTGCCAATGGTTAATGACAATTTCTCTCCTCACAATAGCCTTGCAAATCTGTCTGTAGGAAAATGCCTTTTGTCTCAAGTTAAGATTGCACTAATTTAAAAGCCAAATGTACTTAATTAAAAAGGGCTATTCCATCACTCCCCGCTGCCTCCTCGCCCCTGGAGAGGGAACCTCTTGCCCCGGGTCTGTGCCGTAAAGCCTCATCTCCTGGGTTTAATGAATCAGCAAATTCAAACTTTATTTACAGGAAAGGATTACATTTTTCTTCTTCTTAAGTATCAGAAATTCTGGGAACAGCCAGCGTTGGCAGTGCTAAATATCTGATCAGTTAGGCCCAGAGATGCCAGTGTGGGACTGTCCAAACACGCCTCCCATGGATGCTCTGGGGGGATCACGCACTTCAAACGCTTCCCCACAAAACCCAATGCAGTTGGATGATCCAGAGGACTCAGCCATGAATAATTAGCAAATTGCCATTCATTATTCACTTTTTGGAACCACTGCTTCTCTGCATTTTCCCCGCAAGGCTCCGACTTTCTCTTTTACAGCTGCTGCATTTATTATTAATAGCTGGATCTTAGACATGGCCAACAAGTCCTCAGTTAGGGAGATGATAAATTCCGGTATGTTCCTGGGATCTGGGATGTTCATAACTCCCCAGACACAAGGTTCTTCTGCAAACTGATCTGACTGCCTGTCCCCAGGACAGAAGCAGCTCTGAGTGTCCCTGCTGGGTGTCTTCTGGTCCTGGGGACTAGCCAAACCCCAGACAGATCCTCCTCCTGCCTCATCACCCCACGGGCACCATCTGGGACAGCTCCATTAACCTCCCATCTCCTTGGTTCAGTCCATGTCCCAGCCACACAAAGTCAGCTTGTACCTTGTCCTGACACCCCCTGATCTGCTTCATGACTTTCTGTTAGCTCAAGGTTGCCTTGATGGATCACAGAAATCCAGAGCCTCTCCATAGTAGACAAAATAATCCTTGTTCTGGTATCCTGGAGTTTTATATCTGCATTGAATTCAGACACTGGTAATGGAGAAGGGGCTTAGTCCTGTCCCTGAGAAAGGTCCCCATCCGTGCACAGCTTCTGTGTCATTCATGTATTACAGGGGGATGTGCAAAGAAAAAAATACAGATTTTCTAACTCTGCTACACACATTATTATTAAAAACCCCAACCTAAGAGCAGAAAGAAGCAGCCAATTGGCAAATTCCCAGCGATGCTGGACAAGGTGCTGATACCAGACCTTGCTGATACCACGATACCAGAGGGGTGCTCTGTGCTCAGGGTCGAAGCTCAGGTATCCACACTCAAGGGTTCAAGTGCTACAGCTGTAGGGTTGTGACAACCTTTCCCATGTCTTTGCACATCTGTGGTGGTTTTCCATGGGACAGCAGCGAGATGTGTGGTGGGGGTCCCAAATCACTGCATCAGTGATGTTATTCCAACCATTCCACATAAAATCACAGAACCACAGAATACACAAGTTGGAAGGGACTCACAAGGATCATCGAGTCCAATCCTTAGCCCTGCACAGGACCACCCCTGAGAGTCACACCATGTGCCCCAGAGGATCGTCCAAACACTCCTTGAGCTCTCTCAACCTTGGTGCTGTGACCACTGCCCTGGGGAGCCTGTTCAGTGCCCAACCACCCTCTGGGGGAAGAGTCTTTTCCTAAGAGCCAACTTAAACCTCCCCTGACACAACTTCAGGACATTCCCTTGGGCTCTGCCATTGGTGCCCATAGAGCAGACATCAGTGCCTGTTTGAGCAAGATGCAACTGCAATGAGGTCTCCCCTCAGTCTCCTCCAGCTGAACAGACCAAGTGCCCCCAGCTGCTCCTCACACGGCTTTCCCTCAGGGCCCTTCCCCATCTCCATTGCCCTCCTCTGGACACTCTCTAATGGCTTCATATCTTCCTTATATTGTGGTGCCCAAAACTGCACCTCAGACTGTATCTTCCCAATGCAATTACAGACTAAAAACACACATTAAGTCATAAACTCTAATTTTTAACACTTTTTTCAAGTAACATGATGATCAAATTACATTTAACCCTACATTTGACTACTGAATGTTGCAACCAGCCAGGAACTGCTCCCAGTTCCTTCGCACATACCTGAACCAGCACATATGTTCTGCTATCGTTGCCAAAAAAATTAAATGTAAGTAGAGCTTCACATGAGAAAATTCTCTCTGAAGGATTAAGGAATTCACATTTAACAAGTTGCTACCCTGTGATTTTTTTTTTGTAGTTATAATATTCCTAGATAAGATTAATGTAAATTATCAGCAACGAAAAAACTCCACCAAATGATTTTAATTCCCAACCAAATGTAGATCACCACTTTCAGAAATCTCTCCTTTTTTTGACTATATTACAAAAAAATCATAGTATAAAATAAGACATTTCATCTTGGTCTTTCAGTCAAACCTCTGAGCCAACATCATCCCCCGTTTCCTTCTTGAGGTCAGGATGAGACCCAGATTTCAGCGTTTTCTCTCAGACCATTCTGCTTCACACGTCCCATCTCTTTCATGATGGAGAACATCTATTTTTATGATTTGCAACAAGGTACTTGGTACTTATATGACATTTTTAACCTCTGCATCCCAAAGTGTTTTTTAAGGATGGCCCCTCACAATACAAGACTGATAATATCCTGGCAGCAGCTCAGAGACAGATTTGGCTCTGCTCTGTTCAAATGAAGCCAGACCTTCATTTTCCCTTTCTGAATTGCAAATACACCAAATTCCATCTCCTTCTGGCATAATATTCCTTTGTTTTCACTTGCATTTTCTGTTTCAAGTAAGTGCAATGTCGTTCCCCCTTTGTTAATGATTCCTCAAATATTAAATATATGGCAGCCAAGGCTCTGTGCTGTTTTCTGCCTATTACAGCTCTTCTGCAGAAATTTAGAATAACCTGACAATACACATCATACAGGGAATATGTTCAGAAGGAAGTTTCATGGCTAGAAGGCAATAACTGTAGGATTTAAGCAACTGAAAATGTACATTTTTGCTCAGTTAGGAGTATCTTTATGTGGAGAAAAACATGTAGGATATATCCTGAGTTTTGTGTTTCAGTTTTATTCACTATCAGAACAGATAGTTCAGCACCAAGAGTTCAACTCTGAACATCTTTGGATGCCATTAGCAGAAGGCTAAATATTCAACAAAGTGAAACACTACCAATTCACAGATAAAAATACCTTCCAAACAGGACATCTGAGACCCATTTTAGGCAACCTCCATGCTGAAAATCCCAATGCTTTGCCTCTTACAATGCTTATTGTCTTTTCCAAAGATTTCACCTCAAGTCCTCTGAGACTTTCCTGTACCAGAGGCCAATGACCAACAAACTGAGGTGTGAGCAGAGCTCCAGCACATCCCAGTTCTTCAGCTCAGGATATTCCTTGTTGGAAATCCTTGTGGAATGTTCTAACCTTTGTTTACAGTGGTACCTTAGGGATCTGGCATTGCTCTTCTGAGCAGAAAGATGTTGCTGTGCCAATTCTGCCTCTACCCCACGATGGCGGGTTGGGTTTAGCTGTGAGTTTTTTGGTAGATCCATAACTCATCGATATCCCCAAAACGTGCCACCACTTTCAGAGCAGAAATCCTCCTGCAGCACGGGATAATCAACCAGGTGCATCATTTCCAGTACTGAGGAACGCAATGGTATTTAGAGGGGAGAAAAACACACAGCTACTTTTTGGTTTTTGAATCCATGTCTGTATAACAAACACCCATGAACACTGGCCACATGTCCACGTTACTTACGGTTGAGAGGCAGGCTGGCATTGGTCGTCCCTAGCTTGTTGGCAGCGACACATGTATAGTTGCCAAAGTGTTCTTCTGTCACATTGGTAACAGTAAGAAGTGATCTTGTACTATAATTTTTAATAGTGATTCCTTGTTGACCATTGATCAGTCTAGAAGGCAAAAAGAAAATGTCTATAACTCATATACCATAACCAAGATTTTCTTTTTTTTTAATCTCTTTATTTTTCTTGTTTTACAGACACCACTGACATCACCATCAGCTCTTTGCAAGCTGCCAGTGTCATCTGCTGAGCAAAACTCCCACATCGGAGAGGCCACATGCAACGCTGGAGCTGGGGGTATTGAGGGGAAGAGTTGCTCCCTGTGTGTCCTATAACTGAAAGAAAATAAAGACTCACACCCCCTCGTGCCTTGCCAGAGTGTGGGATAGAAACTCTTAGATGGAGAGCCTAGATTGTGAATTGGGAAAATCCAACTGGAAATTGAAATACCCTCTTTGGGGCAGAGAAGTATTACGGTAAGTCCTTCAAAGTGTGTTTTTCGGACTCCGGAGTTTGTTGTCTCCTTTCTCACCACCAGCTGATGGCAGGTGAGGATTAGGAGCCAGAAATGTGACTGTGGGACTGTGACCACAGTTCGTTTTACAGGGCTGCAAATCAGACTTGCAACTAGGAACATGTGCTGAGTCAGCAACCTGGGCAGGAACCAGGGAACCAAGTGCAGGAAAAAGCCAAATCAGGGCTCTTTTCACTCAGCTTCAAGCTTCCTACCCCAAATTTAACAGGAACTGTGCAGGTGTTTTGGTATTGCTCCCAAAGCCATGTCAGAATCATCGCTGGTGCACCGAGGCAAAGCCAGATGACCAACTTAAATGGTGTTGTTGTAGGCAAACCACGTCTGATCAAACAAGGAGATGAAAAGGGTAACCATGTTATTAAAAAACTCGCTGTGGTTATTACTCCTAATTCCTTATATTTCCCATCATGAGCAGAGTTTTAGATTAAGAATACAATTTTTGTCTGCTATATTGGAAGATATAATGGTATATCCTGGGAATTAAGGCAATCTTCTACCTTTCTGTCTAAAAACCTCCACAAATCTGTCATTAATTGCACTTTGGCATGTTGTGGGTTGAACACTCATCATTACATGAGTGCCTCTCTTCCCACTGGATCACTACAGGCTGCTCACTCATGGGGACTTCTTTTCCCTGTGCAGGGAAAAGTGTTTTCCTTGTGTTGGTGTAGAGGACACTGCTCCTCCAGCCCATGGTTGGGGAGAGGATGTGGCACATCCCATGGACACACAGGGTTTTGCATGAAATGTAAAAGAAATGGGATTGAAGTGCCTGGTTGGAGGTGAGCGCTGCAGTTGGAAGATTCATCTCTTCCTCTGCAAGGCAGAAGTTTGTCCATTCAGCCTACGCACATGGATGTTCTTCTAAACCCACCAATGCCCCTTTGCTTCCTGCCTCTCATGCAGACAATCTCAAGGGCCTCCTTCACTCCCAAACCCACCCATCACATCGTGGTTCACACACAGTGACAGTGGGAGGGCAGGAGCTGCAGCCATGGCCACCATCCCTTCCTGCTGCCTTTCAGGGTTTGATCCCTGCCCCTCTCCCAGGGAAACTTGGGGTACTGGAATCACAGCTCCTTGTCCACCTATGGCTTGTTCTTTGTTGGGAGGGTGGTGAGGCCCTGGCACAAGTTTCCCAGAGAAACTGTGGCTGCCCCATCCCTGGAAGTGTCCAAGGCCAGGTTGGATGGGGCTTAGAGCAACCTGATCTAGTGGAAGGTGTCCCTGCCCATGGGAGGGGGTGGGATGAGTTTTAAGGTCCCTCCCAACCCAAACCAGTCTGAGATTCCATGGTTCCTACCTGCTCTTTCCAAGCCACCTCCACCCCTTTGGCCCATAACCACAATTTGAGCTACAGCATCTCTGTTTTATAGTTGTAAGGTTTAACTCATTGTCCAGAAAACATTGCAGGGGTGGGAATTTTGCTGTCCCCATACCCTGTCAGGGGTGACATTTGCCTCAAAAAATAACTGTGTCTGCTTGTTGTGACCTGCTGCCTCCCCAGGCTGCCAGGAGGATGAGATCTGTGGGTGCCGGCTCAGAACCCTTTTCCTCTTACTCCTGCCCCTCCTTCCTCTCCCACTGCTCCCACATTAGCATCCCTGCACATCCCTGCTGGAAGTGGCTGATGCTGGTGGCCAGGACTGGAGGTTGTGGAGCAAATGGAACTGAGTAGATGTGCATATCAATAAGCCAGGCAATTAATGGAGCGAGGAGCTGGCATTAGTTTGCATAAACTCAGCAGTTCCGAGGGTTTCCATTTGCAGTTGTGAGAAGCAGATGCTTTTACTTTTAAATTAATTGCTCCCGTGTGCTGCTCAGCTTCGTTTATTGACTGAACACACATTTATCACTCGTCTGGGTTTCACCAAGTTCTTTCCCAGCCTGGAATGGCATTTTAAGTTGTATGCAGCCACCCCATGTGTTTCTTCACCTTTCTGCTTTGCACCAGTTAGAAAGGGAAGAGTGATTTCCTTTTTATTCCAGAGATTACTCCTGCACATCCAGAGCTCATGCATCAGTGCCAGCCCCCAGGGGGTACCTGCCTTTGGTTTCAAATTTGAATACTTTCACCTTATTATAATATATTAAGCCCCTATAATGAGTTTTGTTATTTCAAATGTGTGTCCTGTTTGCTTTGAGAAGGAAAAGGGAATTAATATTTTAATATTTTATTTAGGTGACTTTTGGGCTTCTTCCCTGTGGCTGTTTAATGTCTGAGATCTAATTTCTGTGTAACCCTAAACGCAACACACTGAACAGACGTGGATTTTGGAGTTGGCATAGTGAAGTCATTCTCCTCTCTACAGGGAATCCTGCTACAATTTTAGAAGCCACACACATTTATAAAGCCCCATCCCTGGAGGTGCCCCATCCCTCGAAGTGTCCAAGGCCAGGTTGGACAGGGCTTGGAGCAACCTGGGATAGTGGAAAGTGCCCCTGCCCATGGCGAGGGTGGGACTGAATGGGTTTAAGATCCCTTCCAACCCAAACCAATGACAATTTTAAGATGATTTTACTAACTTCTCCCCCAGACTTTCTGTCTCTTCCCAGCTCACCCCACCTTGGGCACCAGCACCTATAGAAAGTTATCAAACAGCAGCCCTTGGGAACTCAGTGACTAGGCAGAATTAGCCTCTCTGCCTCAAAGACTAATATTTTTAACTTAATGTAGTCTCTTACAGCCTTTATGCTTAGCTTTAATGGCTCTTTTATGATAAGATGATCCCTTGAGTCCGAAAACGGTGGGTTTGGATTTACATTAATCTAAGTAACAACAATACAGTTTACAGGCCCAAAAGGCTTGTTTCAGACACTGAACATACACTTAGGGTTTCAGATGTCCAAAAACACAAGTCCCAGCCCAAGAGTATCTGAAGCAAATGGGATTCTCTCTATTCTGTTAACAGAAAATCCAGTAGGGTGTGTATTCCCAGGGGATAAATGTAGTCTTGGAGTACCGCTGCAAATTATCTGCCTGATAATGTAGATGCTACTCTGAGCTACCTCTGAGAGCTTTGCATTAAACCAATGACTGAGCTGCCCAAGGCTCATCTTGTGGTGGCTGCCCATCATCCAGAGGGAAAGGGGATATACTGAAGGAAAAAACAGCATGTATGGATTTCCTTCCTTCCTGCAAGTGAAGGGGGTTCAGAGATCCCCAGCACCTTTGTAGTCATCTGCCAACAACAGTTCATGGAATATCCTGAGTTGGAAGGGACCCACAAGAATCACAAAAGTCCAACTCCTAAAAAGGATGGAGTGTGAGATTTAACACAACATTTGAACAGCAAAACACAACAGGACAGTACTGTTCTTGCTGAGGTGAAACACCAACTGAAACTGAGACAGAAGCACAACTCTGGTGTCCTGAAATGCTCTGCTTCATTTTTCCTGCTGCTGCCTTGGCACTGAGTGCACTCAAGGGAAAGGAATTTGGTCAGTGTTATAAATAGAAAGGTGATTAGCACGCTGGAAAGGGCTGGTTGAATCCAGAGTGCTAAAACTGCGCTGAAATATTTTCTACACAAAATAAATTCCTGCTGCAACTCCCCCCAGGATAGGTACAACACAACGGGCATCTCTGCAAACAGGATGCAGCTGAATTTCACCAACAGAGGAAAACCAGTTTCTGTCCCATAAAGGTCAGGTTTTAGAGAATGTTTTAGGATAGGGTGAAGTGCAAAGCTGTGACTGCTCAGCAAAGTGAAGAGGGAGGAGGAGCAGCTCCTGCTGAGGGAGGGGAGCAGCTGAGAAACGAGCTGACAGATGGCTTTCTGTGAAAAAGGGTCATTAATATTCTCCTTCCAGCTCCCAGGTTTAGGGGGATGTTTGAGCTGAGAAACCTAACTTGGAAGCTCGGAAGTTCCAAAAGCTTGACACTAAGTTACAAGGGACAATATCCACTTGCTTTTGCACTGACATGAGAACCTACCAGAAATAAGCTCTTAGACAAGCCAAGAGCTGAAAAACCCAATGTCCTATTAAAAATGGAAAATATCTACCTGTTTAATGAGCTGGTTTTAAAATAAAGCTGACTCTACAGAGATTCCTGTTACCATTCCATAACACTAATGACCTGGAAGTGAAGCTGGCTACAAACAAACCCAAAGCACAGAATCAATTTCTAGAGTTCAAGCAAGGAGCACTCCCTGGACCCCTCTTGGATGCAGTGACCTGCAGAGCTCTGTGGAATACAGACCCATGGTCTAGACCACCAGTGGCACAACTGGGTGAAAATCCATACACAGGAAGATTTGGTTGAAAGTCTTGCTCATGAAACAACCTCTCCACCCCAAAACCCACAGCAGGAAACCTGGGAAGATGAATTGAAAAAAAAAATCCTTTTAGTAGCTTTTTCAGTGCTTTTTTTTATTATACTTAAGAGGCTGTAATTACTAAAGCACATTTGAATGTTAGGCTTGTTATTGCAATTATCACTCTCAGAGCCCAGCACAGCCTGTGTCCAGAGCAGGAAATACAACCACGAGGAGACTGAGCTGCTCCCCCAGAACTGCACAGCCAACGCTTCCAGGTACCCGCTGCTGGAGCTCGGCCTTGATTGCAGGCCAAGCTGCTGGACTTGTCACCATGGGGACAACCCCAGCCTGGCGGCTCCTTTCTCTTCCACCCTGGTCCCCACGGGCAGGCGACAGCCCCGGCAGCACCGGCTACTTACTTCCTCTCTCCTTTGTACCACTCAAAGTTCGGGGCAGGAACTCCTGCACCTTCGCACCGTATCAGGCCGTTCCCTCCAAGCACCACACCGCTGGATTTAAGTTCCTGAATTGTGGGGGCAACTGAAAGAAAAGAATTGTAAAATGGATGTTGGCATCTGGACACGCAGATCATTCAGCACCGCTGCTCCTCGGCGCACTCGGCCTGGTACGAGTGGTCTCCAGCTTGGTTCACATTCAACCACGTTTGCTTCCAGAAGAGTCAAAATTACCCCACACTGCAGATTCTGAAATCTGTCCTATATGTTTGGTGTAAAAACACAACTGAGACATGGAGCGAGATCAATCCAATCCTGAAAAAAAGCTGGTTGTCCAACAGTTACTCGGCGTAAACCACAACTGTAAGCATTAGTGTCATACAAGATGCACGTAAATCCTGGGAATGGGAAAGAAGCACATGAAACCCCAACACTGGTGCACTGAGAGGCTCCCACTGGGCTCAGCCGAGGACCCCTGGCATTGGGAGGGTACAGCAATGCCGAGGCAGTGCCCAGGCCACAGGGTCCCCAGTTCCAGCACCTCTTACCTCCTGCATCATGGCACCTTGCAAACAGCACATAAACCCCAGAGCTCAGGTGGCCTTTGAGTTCTTGTTTTGCATATTTAAGAAATAAACCTTCAAGATGATGAGACACCCATCAATCTCACAGAACAGTGACTTTCCCAGCATTGCACTGGATATAGCGTTGTTTTAGTAAATGTATTTTGTCTTTTTAAATAGTAAACACTGTAAATAGTAATGAACATTTTGAGCTTAGAACCACAGATACAAATAAAGATAAAAAGCCATTGTCAGGTTTTCCAGTTGCCAGCAAAAGGCAACAGTGAGCTGAAAATAAAACACAGCAAATTCCTCAGGAAAGAGATTATCAAAGGGAACAACTGTCTCCCCCCTGGAATTTCTTTTATGTTTTCTAGTTTGATACAATAATTTATGTGCATCATCAAAACACTATAAAAACCAAACCACAGAACTTATAAATAAAAATCTGTTTACTTTTTCCCAAGCAGTTTTCCAGATGTTGCTTCAAGGTGTTTATGTTCATGTGGAGCTCTGACTGCCTCATGTCTGCTTTCGGCACCATCTCACCCATTGTTCATTGTCTGTGCTGTCGTGATGCACCCCCACCCCATCTTGACCTGACCTCAGAAGCTCCTGATAAACCTTGACAGAATCATCTGAGTGCTGAAACATCCCGTGACTGTCCCAGTGGAGCCTGAGACACTCCCTGATCCCACCAGGAGCTCATACATGGTACAGGTGGGAACAGTCAGAACCAACACAGGGGAATTTTCAACACGTCCCTTTACACACCTGGAAACAGGAGCACACAGGGCTTTAACCACATGCATGGGAATTGATTCTGGGATGAATGTTCCTGTCCCAAATCCAGAGTTAAGGCATTTTTATAACTACAGTAAACCTATCAAATCGCTTTGTAAATGTTAAAGTGCTCAGTGATTCAGTGCTGCTAAACCCTTTGGCAATGTTATCTTTGCACCCTTTGCACTCCCTTTTGCATTCCCAGCTTCTGTGTTAGTCATTCCAAACCGCTTCTGATCTGATCTTCCTGTGTGTGCTTCAGCATGGGCAGTAACAGAGCAACTCTTGACACCCAATTCTGTAAAGTCACATTTTCACAAATTCAAATTAAGCCTGCTTTCGCCAATACCTTTGATGGTGTTTCTTTAGACAGCCAAACCCCTCATTTCTGAAACAATTTAAGAGATCTGAATATTTTACACAAACCTGCCACTAAAGAAGCATCAGGTCTATGACAAAACAGTGATAGGCAGGTTCCCTCATCACACACTTGATGATTACAACAAACCAACCCAGAAACTCATTAACTTTCAACTGGTAACATTCAAATTTCCAGGAGATAATAAGTGTTTAAGCAATTTGCAGGACTACCTCTGCATAACGTGCATAGAAAAAAACACATTGGTTTAGTTAATCCATAAATAAACAGGGACACGTAAAGCGTTCCCACTCCTTCACTCAAGTTGTACGAAAGATGTGACCACTGGAAGAGTGAGTAAGAGACAAGAAAAGGCCTGAGTGGTGTACAAAGGTTTTTTTTCTAAAACGTACCACTTTCATGCTACCTCTGGGGTCTATTCACCTTTTGCTTGGTGTTTTGTGTCGTTTTTAGGGATTTTTTTGCTTTGGATGCTTTTTACATAATGCAGAACATCACTGACAATATGTTTTAAAATGAAATGATGCATAAAAATGTACAGCTTGCTGCTCCTTCTTCAGGCAGGAGCCTCAGGGCCCGTGCTCCCATTGCAGCTGGGAAGGGATTACAGCTGCATCCCAGCCATACGCAACGATTCCAGGTTTTGTTATCTGGTGAGGTTTCTGCTTGGAAACTACTGGAAAATTTCTGAAGAGGGAGTTTTCTTAGATCTCCCTTTCAGAAGGATTTCAGATTCTGTTTCTTCAGAATTAGAATTAAAACCAATGTTCCCTGCTCCAGGAAATCCCTGGTTAATACAGGTATGGAAACACAACCCAGGGATCGCTTGGAGCCACCATTCTCTTGGATTTATCACTGTCAGGTTACTTTATTGTTTTTAGTCTGATGCAGGTGTGTTCCTGGAGCACTGATTAGTAATGAGCTGAGCCAAAAATCCACCAGATTCCATCCCCCACCTGCTGCCATGGGGGTGGAAGACCGAGATATTCCAGCTGAAATCACACCTAAAACCTGCTGCTCTCACTGCCAAGGCCTGCTTTGGAAAGAGAAGAGGCAAACTCCTGGGAGAGATTCTCAGATCATCACTATTATATATATATATATATATTTTAATGTAGGTTTTTTTTACACAGTCAAAAAGACTCATTTTTGAGGAGATATTTGGGAGCTGATTTTAGTGCTGTCAGTCAAGCTGCAGCTGTTGGCATCCTCTGAGGTGTGAGACAGGTGAGGCTCCAGCTGCAGTCTTCCCTCAAACTCCTGCAACTAATGCCTTCACTGGGTTTCCCCTCCACGAGTTCTGTGGGAAGAGATTCTCATTGTGTTGCAGACACAGCCTTGTGCCTGAGCCCTTCACTATAAATAATAATAAACAAGCCAGCAAGAAAGTAACACCTTGTCTCAAAGGTACAGAGCACCAGGAGAGAGGGAAACCTGGCAGAGGCTGCAGAAGGAGGGAAGGGGGTGAAACCCTTGCTGAGTTCCCAAGGTGGGGATTATCCCAGACAAGTCAGGGGGCTGACAGAGATACTGCAGTCAAATCGAACAGTGATGTTAACAAGAAAACCTCATGCAAGACTAATAATTTTAAAGGTATTTGTCATTTTTATATCTCCTAAATAATGGTTATATAAAATAATAGAGAAAAGAATATGATTGCTATAAATCTGTTAGCAGCACTGGGCTTCTGTGACTCATGTTTGTAGGTTTAGTCTCCCTCAGTGGATCCTTGTTTAATCCTCTCCCGTGGTTCAGCCCTGCAGAGAAAGGTTCTTAAAACAAATGCCTAATTTCTGACTTGGAAATACATTACTGGAACTTATTTAATATCCATTTCTCAAATCTGTGAGTGCTTTGCTGGGAAAGGTTATTTGGAGAGGGTGTCAGAGCCGTGGCTTCACTGGAGCTTCACCAACACCCTTCACGTCTGTCCCTGTGTGAGGTGGCTCAGGAGGGAAGGCTGGGCTTGAGCCAAAATACATATTTATTATTCCCCAGAAATACATATTTATGTATCCCCACATGAGAGATCTGTCAGAAGAAGTGTGTAAGTGAGGAGAGTTGGACCCAACAGGCACTGGAGGCGATGCCAGATGTCCCCAGGCTCGCCTGGGGTTCGGTGTCATTGCGTGGGGCCTGTGCAGGTCTCACCCTACAAAGCCCAGTGTGCAAGGCCAGGCTGGACAGCGCTTGGAGCAATTTGGTCTAGTGGAAGGTGTCCCCACCCATAGCAGGGGGTGGAACGAGATGAGCTTCAAGGTACCTCCCAACCCAAACCTTTCTATGATTCTGATTCTGCACATCTTTGTCCCCCAACACCTTCACGTGACTCAGGCGTTTGTGCTGGAAAACTGAATTTTACAACTTAAGTTTCATCCAGAAATGACTCAAAGTCCTGCTGAATCTGGTCCCCTTCCAGGTAGTTTCATTTTGCTTTTAAATGCCTAAGGCAACAGTTAAAACAATCCCTATCATACACAGGCACAGGGAACACGCTAAAACTCCAGCTAGAGCAGGTTTCCCCTTTTTACATTTTAATGAGCATTGGGACTTTTATGCACATTAGTTATGTTGCCCTAATTACTCATTATAATTCTAATGTGCATTTTATATTTAATTACAATGCTTATAAAGATTTGGTATGGACAGTAAATTATTATAACTAGCATGTGCATAATGATTACGAGATGAATTTATTAACTTTTACGCGAGCATTCAGGGCTGGTAACTTTCAATTTCACCTTTGTAAGCACCCATATTGTCTGATTAATCTAACATTTTTGTGGCATTAATTGTAAATGTCAAAAAAAAGAAAGTCTTTTATTTTCCTAGTTTTCATCAGCTTTTAATTTGGTATCCTAATGTCAGCTTTTGTTAGTGAAATTGCTTTCCAGGGTGTTAAGATAAAAACTTAGGTAAGAGAACGGGTTTTGAGATCTGTTTTGCTGCTCAGAAAACCAGATATCAGCAATAGTCAAATATATTCATTTAGATATATGTACACACATAGTGTTTTGTCAATACAGTAACAAGTCTTTACAAGAGAAACAGTATTACTTGTGCTTTAGATAATTAAGATGGGCTTTTGACAATCTAGATTGTTTAATTTTGCTAATTTATTCCGAGCATCAGTCCTACCTATTCCCAAAATAATGGAATGGTTTAATAAATGGCTCTTCACGTCAGAAACTTCTGTGCTGTGCAGAAACATTTGAGAGACATGCCTGTAACAACCACTGGGCTCAGCAACTAACAAGCTTATTTATTCCATCTTTTCTTGACGACTTATCAAAACACACAGATTCAGTGGGATCTTGACTTGTACATGCACATAAATTTTATATGCAAATGTATGAGATA